GTATAAAAACACCCCTCGAGTCAAAGTTCCCACATGTGAAACGTGGAGTCCTGTCGCCCACAGATGGTCAAATAGAAGCCCACAGGGCCGGCGGGTTTCTCGCAAAATACACAGTCATGTGATCCCTGATAAAATCATATCGATGGACTGCGGCCGTGGAGTAGGATGGAGCTGACACGAGCTGCAGGAGCTGCGATAATAATCACCCTCCCCCCCCCCCGGGGGCATTGTTGTCGTACCAGACAGGACTGCGTGTCTCTGCCCAGCGCAGCCCCCCCCCCACCACCACCACCCCCGTGTTGATCTATCCCTGCAGCTGCGCACTGCCATCAGAGGGACCCACACACACACACACACACACACACACACGCAGTCCCAGCTCTGCTCCACACTGCCCCCCCCATTGCAGGGAGGGGATGATAGTCAGCAGGGCCGATGAGGATTTGGAGACGCTGATATAACAGGCTCTCCCACTATTATTCTGTTTTTATATCATTTTCCCTCTCTCCCTCCCCATTTTTCTGCTGGCACAGCTTTTACATCCCATTGGACCCCCCCCATCCCCCCCCCGGCTCCATGGCTACCGTCTGCACGCACACCCATGCACTCACATACAGGTTTGTAATTATATCTTTGTGGGGACTCTCCATTCATTTTTATGGGGAAAACTCTAATCCCAACATGTCAACCCTAACCCCTACCCAGCCCTAACCTCAGCCATAAGCAACCAAACATAACACAAGACTTTTGGCACTTTTCATTTTTTGATTGTGGAGACCTGAAAAATGGTTTGTTTTTTTTACATGGTTTACAATGTAAAAATAACAGGTTATTATCATTTATTGCATTATGGGGGCCATTTGGTCCCTAATCCACACACACACACACACACACACGTAGGGTGAACATATCCTTGTGGGGACTATTCATTCATTTCAATGGGAAAAATGCTAACGCTAACTATGAAACCGGCCCCCATAAGGGAAAAAAAACGGATATTTATCACGTTATGGGGACATTGTGTCCCCATAAGGATAGGTAAACCCGCTCTCTCTCTCACACACACACACACACACACACACACACACACGCCACCGACTCCCTGCAGCGCTGTCTTGATGCCACCAGTGTTTTCGAACACAGAAGCTTCAGACTGCGGTGCAGAGGCCATTAAATCAGATTCACCTGTAGGAGTCACACACCATTCCCTTATTCAGCTGTATACTCATATACCTGTAGTCCGATTCCAACGGCATTTACGCCTGGATGACACATCCCATAATAAAGATATCAGAGTATGCGGGAACAGAGGGAGGGGTCCTGTTGGAAACCAGCTAGAGATCAGTTCTCTTGCAAAAAATCTGATAACTGAGCTTGAAGTCTGTTTTGTTGGCCCTGGGTCAAGGTTTGCCAGCGCAGTGCACAGCTCAGCGGCCCTGTGAGCTCAGCGGTTCTGTGAGCTCAGCGGCCCTGTGAGCTCAGCGGTCCTGTGAGCTCAGCGGCCCTGTGAGCTCAGCGGCACTGTGAGCTCAGCGGTCCTGTGAGCACACAGGCATGGCTGCACTGCTCCTCATTCCGACATCCCAATCCCGAAATCCCCAGGTGAGAAATCACTTCAGAGTGGTGTTCCTCACAGACCCCAAACGCTGGGATACACAGCACCTGCTGCACCACCATGATGCAGCATCAAATGATTTGTTTTACACAAATCAAGAGGCAGGTAAACAGATACAATCAGTAAAAATGACTTTGGGTCTAGTTCAGTATAAAGTCCATTAACATGTACAGCAGCTCAGCAAAATCAGGGTGTTACCCTAATCACGTTACTCTGATCAGTTGTCCATCTTCGTCTCCTGTTTGACATGAACATTAATGAATCCACAACTTCATGACAGTACCGATTACCCTGATTTGTCATTGCATGGAGAACGCTTTCATATCAAATGGCCAGTGATGTCACCTGTGAATACTGCCTTTCTCTAGCTGGGATTTAGCAAAGAAACAGTTTGTTTAGTATCCCTGAGATATCCGGTTAAAACTATTTTCGTCCGAACTTGAAACAACTACCTACCTGAAAGACAAACGAGGTATCAATGCATCAAAGTATGGGTGGAATTACCGCGTGCCGTCAATCACTGGTTTGATCCAACGGGAATCAATAAAATAGCCTGTTTTAAAAGGATGATGTCATCCAGGGTTAAATCATGTGCAAAGGGATTCGATTTCTATTGGTGGATAACCATTGGGGGGGGGGGGACAACAGTGACATCATAGGCATGCTTCTGGTTCAAGTTCAGGGAGGACGATCTGCTTACGATTTCACTCCAGTGATCCAGTTGTATAACTGGGTAAAGTCTGAAAATGATCAACTAAGCAACATGATCTAAATTCCCATATAGAAAAGCTGTGTTAGTTTGTGTACTATGAGTTTGATAGTGACACTGTGTTTGTCTACAGAGGGCACAGCAATGACTCTGAATTCTGATATTAGATCAAGCTGCCCCCCCACCCATCCGTCGGGACCACAATGAAGCCTCTGTCTCTGGGGCTGACCCAGTCCCCGGTCCCCAGGCCCTCCTTTGTACCCGTGAGGTCGGGCTGGTGTAACAGCACTCAGCACAGAAACAGAGGCCACTGTCCTCTCACTGCCGCCCCCGGACACTGCCGACGTTCAAAGGGGAGGCTGGGACAGCGAGGGCCGTGCCGAGACTGAGAATGTGGCCTTCGGCGCCGGCGTGTTTACGGGGCTGGGCCAGGCACAAGGGCTTAAGCATCATGCTCTCTTTGTTTCTTATGTGCTTGAAAAAACATTTCAATTGGAAAAAAAGAGGCAGCATTATAACAACAATGCATTATTTTACATTTAACTCTTACACTTTTATCCAAAGTGAGGGTTAGAATTCATGCAAGATCCCTGGGACTCAAACCTAGAACCTGTACACTATACAATGCTTTCCTTTGTTAGGCTACAGGAGTTTTTTTCCAGCAAGAGAACTGCCTTGTAGGCGTGACATAATTCAGGCCAAGGGCTCACGCTGACAGATACCTGCTCCTCCTTCTCCATTCAAAGCTAAGGACCCGCTATATTTTTGGAGATTTCTTGCCAGTCCACCTTCATCCTCCTACCAGCTGCAGCTGTTGTTGGGAGATGTGTATCCGTGAGGGAGGACCAATGGCAAGCTGGGTGCACAGAACGAAGGGATGCCATTGGTTTAACTGGTCGCAAGTGCTTTATAGACCGACGCATCAGTTCAGGGGATTATAAGCTGGTGAACAGCACTGAGCGTTCCATTCAGTCTGCTGGAACTGTGATGCCCTGCCCCCCATCCAACCAGCCCACCCACCCTCCACTACATTACGTCAGATTCCAAACAGAGTCTTGGCCCCATGTCTCCCTCTAGTGGCCATCCCTTCACATGAATACATGCTCCATCAGCCTGGCACCCTCAGCATCTGGTGACAACAGCACAGTGCCGTCTTGAGAGGTCAGGACCGTCAGGATCTCCTGGGCCAGTCGGGACCGGTTCTGCTCTCTGCAGTGCTTGGCAATCTCACCCCACCCCTCTGGTGTCCATCCAACATCGTCCAGGATGGCCTCCTGCAGGAAACCTGCAGCAGAACCGGCCGCAGAGCCGGGGGGGCAATCTGATTACACAGCACCAGGGGGTTAAAAGCTGCAGTAAGGCTACAAGCCTGGCAGAGAGCTGAGAGTGACTCAGCCACCCCCACCAGTCACAGCACCCGCATTCACAGGAAGTGACATCACTGCGCTGCTGCATGCACCTTTGTCCAGATCATTTTTACACTTTAGGGAGTTGGACAGAAACGTAATGAGCATATCCGTCTATTCACCCACCTGATTCCGTGCGTGACGCGGCCCCACGAGTGATTGCTCTGAGACCACACACCTTCCCCCATAAAATTGCCAAATGAACTGAAATGTATCAATGTCGATTCATTTTGTTTGCTATTAAAAGTGTAATCTGTCTTGCTAATTGAACTGCACAAGAGAGGATTAACTACCAGTAACACTGATGCTGATGACTGACAAGGTTCACAAGCGCCCGCAGGCGCCGATTCGCAGCATTCATTCATTCTGTCACGTGCACGTGAACAGAAACATTTTGTGGAAACCCAGAGCGAAGCTTCATCATTTCGCATGTCATCTTTCGCCATTGGCATTTGTGAATATTGTAAAGAAAACCATTATCATTGAGTTTCGAGTTTGATTGTCAGGGCTAAGACTAGTTTGGTAGTTACATTGCTTAGTTAGCCAGCTATGATCAAGCTGAGCTCAAGGCCCTGAAGCAACACTGTAGCCAATGTTCTTCAAGCAGAAGATGCACTTTGGTGACAATACATTCAAGTCCCTGGCCAACTAAAATAAGAGAGAGACCTTTTTTCGGTCATACTGCCAGTTGTCCACAGCGTGCTTCCCTCATTTTAAAAATCACCATCTGCTGCTGCACTATGTGAGACATCTGGGACTACAGTATGTGAGTAGATACCAGTCAAGCCCCAGGGTGCAATGACCCTTCCGATCAGGCATGGGGCAGTCATAGGTTTTTTCTAAACCCGGTTAAGGTGCATATACCTTTAAGGGTTATATTCAAAAGGAAGGGGCTGACGGGGGGGACGGGGGATTACTTACACGTCCTGTTTGTAGTTCATATTGTTCTCCACTGTTTGTGCTGTTACTGGGTCACTGTAAACCACTGGTAAGCCCAAATCCACTAACTCCAGAAGGCCTGCTTAAACCAACATCTTCATATGGACCTTAAGTTTATGCTTTTGTGGTTTCGAGTACTATACTGCATATATTTTTTGTATTTGTGTTTCCCCAATACACCTTATATAACATAACCACCTTCTGGCTGAGGACCCCAATGTTCATGCCCTGTGTCGGCTGTAAAACTGCCTGTTAGAACTGCAAACCAGCTGCTTTAGTGAATGGGCTTCACTCTCAGCCCTGCTGGGTGGAATTGCCCACGTCTGCTCACCTGGAGCCCTGCTGCGGATGCTCTCCAGCAGCTGGAAGGCGAGCTCCTCCCTGCCGCTGGCCAGGAGGGTGTCAGCGACAAAACCCAGGGAGAGGACAGCCGGTCGGCCATGGCCCTCCGTGGTCAGGCCCTGGACCAGGGCCAAGCTGGGGCAGCTCTTCAGAAGGTACAAGTAGTCATCTGCAAACGGGAAACAGCTCAGAGACACAGCAGTCGGCACACAGGCACGTGAAGTAGCACCTTTTCAAACATCAATGGGAAGAAACTAAATCATGGTCGATTCCACTGGAAACCATTTCGGAACATTTTGGGTGAGGTGAGGGCACTTGAATTTGAATCAGAGCTACACTTCCATCTCCATAATGTGTCTCTGGAGAACAAATATGTCAAATATTGTTGTAAACATATGGTGGCAGGGTTTTGTTGGGCAGCCCGCTTAGCTTAATTAAGCACATGCTGCGAGCCGAAGAAGGGGATTGGGCCAGAAATGTGCTCACACACCGGTGTGGCTGATCTGCGAATGGTGTGGTACCATCACACCCCTACAGGACATCACGAGGCCCTTAATCTGCTGGGCTCCCACAGACGGGCCCCAGGGAGCCACCTGTAAGCCTGACGCCTACCGGACAGCCACCTGCTGTCAGGAGCAGATGGCGGGACCCCTGCCGGCGATCACCCCCTCCTGTACAGATGGGGGAGGGGACCTCCTCCCTGGCTGCTTGCCACAGTGGGCAGCAGGTAGCATAAAGATCAAGGACAAAAGGTATTTGCTGAAAGCCTTTAGCACTTCTACATTTTCAGGCGGCATTTAACCTGAATTTACACATCAAATCTGAATATTGTATTTAAAGGTACTACTTATATTAAAAACATCAATTGCGCATAATTGATTTGTATTAGCCAAATTAGGGTTTTTTGTGATAATTTAGACCTAAATTGAACATTTGTGCTCGAATGTTTTTAAAGTTACAGAAACCAGGGCCCATCTGCCAGGTTTCACCTTCATGGAATTATTCTGTGGGTGTTCTCTTGCCCGGCTGACGAACCAAGGTGCTGGGAACACCTGGAACCAAAGGCTATCCAGGGCCTGAAGGGGAGGGGGGGGGTATGCCTGGCTGTGCCTGATTGGGCACCAGCACAGTCCTCACCCAATGAGAATGCCCCGTCCTGCTGGCCCATCGCCAGCGCAGCGTGTGTCATGCCCCTGCTGCAGAGACAGGCTGCAGCCTTCCTGCGGGCTCTGCAGGCGCTGTACACCAGCTGTGCCAGGGTCAGGCAGGTGTCGGCTACCCGCGGGCTGGCATGCCGGTACGAGCAGATCACATCCCCCAGAGTCTCTGAGCAGGTCAGCCTGCGAGTCCATAAAGCGTGAGAAACCACTGCGTCACAAAAGCGTTAGGAGCACAAACCACACACAGACACACTGTGACAACATGTTTCCGTGAGGGACCAACTGAAAGCACCACAAAAACATCCCAAACACCCAAAATGTTATTAATTATTTACTGTCCTCATTAAGGATTAAAAGGATCTGTTCACTTTCAAACAGCCTCAGGCTACCGTCTGACCCTCACTTTTTCTGTGTGACCCAGTGTGCGACCAGCTCCAAGCGGCTGTGCTGCAAGGCGTACTTCACCAGCGCAACAGACAGCTGCTTGCTGGGCGGCCGTATCCCAGCATGCACTGAGGCCATCGAAGACTGGATGAAGAGCAATACCGATTCCCCTTTGGCTGGGAAAGACATAGCGCATGATTATTTAAAAACTGATAGCTGTGTGTTTGTAATGAAACCTCTTTAAAATTTTAATTTTAAAAATCTGTTATGCTTGAAATCCTATTTACTAATTAAACAAGTCAACCTAATTTCCTTAGAGAAAAAACATTGCAGTTAATTACGGTTTACATTAATTATAAAACGGCAACATGTTTCTGCTCGTTGTTGGATGGCTCTATAAAAGCATAGCCACGGAAGCCTGTTATGACCCCTTATGAAGCACATTCATATGAGCGCTACCATTTTCGACTGGCTGTGATGCACCGCTGATCCTCTCCATGGTCTCCATGTCCCTTGGCAGCTCTTGAGGGGACCTGGCGTCAGGGATAAGGATGTCTTCATCGTCACCCGAGAACAGACCTTCTCTGAATCTGTTGAATCTGAGGAGGGGCCAATCGCATTGCCACAATGTGGAGGAATATCACAATCCGAAGACCTATCACATGCTATGAAATGCTGACCATGCAGGGCAGCCTGCAGAATTATTGAAGACAACGTTATGCAGCATCATGATCAACATCAGTCAACAGCAAAAGTGACAGCGAGAAGACAAACTGCTCAACACACTCCTTCAGCAGCCAAGAGGCACTGCCATCTTCTATACAGAGCACTGACATGATGCTTTCCGTGTCAGAATCCGGACCTGGAAGACAGTAGATTTTTCCCCATTCGTCAACAATAGCTTAGACCCTCTAAAATACCATGAAGGGTTTAATCAAACAAATAAACATGAAGCAAATACAATGAAGATCACCACAATGTCAGGATGGTTTCTATCTCAGTAAATAGCGCGTTAAGCCTAACCAGAGCAAGTGTTGGTGGAAGCCCAACTGAAGGATCTAAATGACAAACTTTTTCCACTGACACCACGAAATGGCACAACCTTTGAGCTCTGAAGTTTTCCAAAGGACTGAGGACAGGAACTGCATCAACGGGAGCGCTCTTCTCGATTTCTCCCAGGACCGTAGAGAGCCATTAATAAACTTCAACTGTTTGTTCCTAGTCAGAGAAATTAAGTTAGTTGGGTTCTTTTACCTCCTCTATCATTATAAATGACAACACAACAGTATCGTTTAACATCCCACCTGGGCTGTCCATAAGTTAGCAAGAAATTAAGCTAATAGCAACCAAATTGTGCAATCTCATGTGTCACCATTAGAGGGCATATGAGCATCACTAAAAAATGCTTCTCAGAGCCAAAATGGGTTAAAGCTTCCCTCAGTGTTGTACCCGCCCACTAGACTAGGAAATGTACACCTCCATGCCAGAGTTTACTCTGCACCCTGTCCCGTGCGCTCTGCTCCCTCATGTGGGGGACATTCTCTGTATTCTCACCGAAAGCTTAGTCTCTTGTTCTCCCTGAGCAGCTGGTCCCTCAGGGTCTCTGCACTCATCCTGCCGTCCAGCTCGGACCTCGGCGGACTCGCCTTGCTGCTGGGCAGCTCTGGCCGCTTCTGCTCCCACCTGTTCAGGCGCCCCTGGCTCATCTCCTTCACCGTTAGACCTAAAGAGCGTTATTCCATCTAGAGTTGTGGTTAGTTAGGCACTTTGAGCCAGGAATCTGCAGATTAGCAGTCAGACTTATTGCTTGCCTTGGATTTAGTCACAAATACAGGCTAATAAACCATTAATTTGACAAGCCTGCAGAATGGCAAGCAACACTATTACAAGATACAAGACAGGTTGGGAATATTTAAAGTCAAACATGATATCCTGACTACCTCAGCTTCAGTGTGTATTCTTCCCCCACAGAAAGTGCTTATGAAATGCAAGTCATAAATGAAAATAAGCATCATGGCATCACCCTTCATACCTGGATTCTGGAAAAAAGGCCTTACATGCTCCTGGGGAGATGTTCTCTCAGTCTGCAGAGTCCTCAGTCTGCTGATTTCAGTCCGCAGCTCAGATGTGTCCTTCAGGATTACGGTGATCCTGTGGTGAAAGGGCAGTGAATGTTTGCCAGATGCCTGCAAGGCTAAAGAAGATGGCTTCCACTTCAAAAGGATCATTTGATGTAGTCTGGCTATATTATCATTATATTATTGTTATTAAGTGAGGTGCAATGCCAGCAGACCTCTCCTGGAGCTGGGCAGATCTCTTGTGGTGGTTGATTAGAGAGACCGGCTCAGAGAGAGTGGATTTCAGTCTTGCCTGGACCCTCTGGGCATCATGGTGCTTTCTTTTCACGGCCTGAATGAAATGGTCGTATTCCCTCTTGATGGAAGCAAGCACCATTTTATACACGGTTGTGTGCTCAATTACCTGCAATAAAAGAGGTAGAAATCCCCTTTAACTAGGGTGACCAGATAATCCATGTCAGGGAGGACACTTTGAGCTACTTCGGGTTTTACAAACTAATTTCAAATTGAAAGGCTCCTGTGCTCGGCTAATTAGTTCAGTTCTTCTTGTGCTTTGACTGGTTCATTTCCTTGACTGAAAGACTCATCCAGTTGTTTCACAATAGCATTAGTGACACATGCACGATTATAGGAGACTGACCAATTAGCAAACAGCGAGAACTCAGTGCTAAAGTGAAATTCAGGTCCTTTTAATTGAAATGGCAATTTACAATTCCTGTCCTAGCTCAGAGTGTCCTCCCTGACATGGATTATCTGGTCACCCTACCTTTAACATCTGTTCCGACAAAATGTGAACTTTATTTGTCTTCATCATACTCTCAGAGCTCTGTAGGTCTAGGGTGACCAGATCATCCATGTCATGAAGGACACAGCTAGGGCAGGATTTGGAAACTACCATTTCAATTAAAAGGACCCGGATTTCATTTAAGCGCTGAGTTCTTGCTGTGTGCCTCCTGTAATCATGCATGTGTCACTAATGTTAATGTGAAACAGCTGGATGAGTCTTTCAATCAAGGAAATAAACCAGTAAAAGCACAAGAAGAACTATTTAGTCAAACACGGGGACCTTTCAGTTTTACAGTAGTTTGTGAACCTGAAGTAGCTCATAGTATCCTCCCTGACATGGATTAGGTGGTAACCTTATTTAGGTCTAGTTCAGCCTATTCTGGTTTGGTTGGTACCATATCAAACGCAGCACTGTAGATAATATAGCGTTGTTCATCAGCTTCGGTGCATGACAGGTGTTTCTTTTCGCTTTCTATGAACTCATACACGGAGTCTAAAAAGTTTTTGTCACTAGAAGATTCAACTGATGTCAGGATTCCCCCTCCCCTGAAAAAAAAAAGTTAAATAAAATAGTACACAAAATAGCAGTTTCAGTTGTCGACAGTAATGTATTATGATAGATCACAGCCAGAAAATAGGCTGTATTACGTAGATTTATAAGAGGCAAAACATTATAATGTGCACGGTTACCAAATCTAGTAAGAAATAGCAATAGTAATTTAGTGATTATATCATACATAAAAAATAAGTTGTTGGTTATGAACCGGACTCAGAAAATTATGTAGGTCTTACTTCAGCATCTTAATGTTCCATGTAAACTGGCCCTCACAGCGTGTCTATGCGGCAATATATGCATACAAATTTTGACATACTTCTAAACAAAAATAAACGGAAGTTTGATTCCGTATCCAGCAAAGTCACTAAGGAAATCCAGACGTGAGGCGGTTGTGGGTAATGTAGTTTAAACGTAAAGGTGAGCGCCTTGAAATGATTAAAATATTTTAAATATGTATTAATATTAATATTAAAATATGTATTATTTTGATTCCATCAAAATAATACATCTTAATAACTATATACATGGTAAAATAAAACATGTTTGGCATCAATAAAAGAGCATTTTGTACAGGCATTTTTAAGACACCTAGTCCCTGCTCACGCGTTGAGAAAACCCTGTCGCGCGCCGGTGTGGTCCTCTTCTCATGATCCGCCATTAGCAGGAGGCTTGTGGTGAGTTGCGGCTCTTCGTATAAATTAGAAAATTGTCTTAATATAGTTGACTTTTTCAAGATATTTTGCGATCGAAATGTTCTTCAAAGCACTGTTTACTTTTATGTGCAGGTGGAATCTGTTCCAAAATGCAGATTTTCGTGAAAACCCTTACGGGGAAAACTATAACCCTTGAGGTGGGTTTCGCCGCGGGTTTCCTTCTTCATTGCTCAGCATTATAAATAGATATGCCAATCGGTGTAATTAAAAAACGTTATTTTTTAAGTAAATGGGTTGGAGTTTTTATTTTCCTGTTTAGTTGACCATTTAATCGTCTTATTCAGTATTGCCGCAGCCAGTGATTTCATTCACACGTGTGTCTGGCCTATGATACATTTAGCTTACGTATTAAAAATGTGCAAGTTTGAAGTGATACTTTTATTAAGCAAATTAGCCAATAAGCAGGTCATGGTGTGGATTGCCATCGCTTTATGGCATTTTTTGCAATCATAGCCGTACGTTAGTGATTTAGTTACGATGTGACATTACATAGCCTATAGAAAATAAACGTTCTATAGGATCAGCCCATGCCGCTTAAGTCTGTTACTTAACATGTAAAATGTCACCTACCTGTAATTTCAGGGTTAGTGATTAATGAGCTTTGACTTTATACAACGCAATGTGTGTCAATAGGTTGAACCATCAGATACCATCGAAAATGTGAAGGCCAAGATCCAGGACAAAGAAGGTACGGATTTATACTTAAGCATTTGCACATTTATAAGTTTTGCGGGATTTATAACAGTGTTTAGGTGGCCTTAAATCGCCCGGTTTAGTGTCTTGTAACACCAGAGCCTCTTTGCAGGTATACCCCCTGATCAGCAACGGTTGATCTTCGCTGGCAAGCAGCTGGAAGATGGACGTACTCTGTCTGACTATAACATTCAGAAGGTGAGTCTGGTTTCTGTACTGATGGCTCCCCCCACCCCCCGACTTGGGGAATGGTATGGTCGGGAGATGGGAATTGGACTTTGCTGGAGAGCTGGGGTTGGACAGCAGCTCAGCTCCTGTCTGTGTACAGGAGTCCACTCTGCATCTGGTGCTGAGGCTGCGTGGTGGCGCTAAGAAGAGGAAGAAGAAGTCCTACACCACCCCCAAGAAGAACAAACACAAGAGGAAGAAGGTCAAGCTGGCTGTGCTCAAGTACTACAAGGTAGGATCTCCTGCAGTGCCCAGCTGGTCCTGAGTGACGGCCATGTGGTCCTTCTCAGTGGAGTGGGTTAGGTCATCTCAGGTGTGATTTTATTTCTTTGGATGCACACTAAGGCGCGAATTGATTTGACAGTTGCTCAGTCAGGCTAACAGGTTATTCTTGCCATTGTAGGATGACAGACGGTGTAGCCTCATGATCTTAATTCTCCCCCAGGTTGACGAAAATGGCAAGATCCACCGGCTGCGCCGCGAGTGCCCTGCGGAGGAGTGCGGCGCCGGCGTGTTCATGGCCAGCCACTTCGACAGGCACTACTGTGGCAAGTGCTGCCTCACTTACTGCTTCAACAAGCCTGAGGACAAGTGAGCGTGGACTGGACTGGAGTAAATAAATAGTCTTGAGATATTTGCTGTGCTGTGCCTCGTCATTTCACTCCGGCTTTAACAGAACACAAAACTGGGTTCACCAATCTTAGACCTATTAGACCGTCCCTAGTCCACACCATTATGTCAGCTAGGATATAGTAGCAGCAGTTATTGCACATCCACACATGCTTGACAGCTTGATTCCATTTTAATTAAAAGTGATTTTAAATAATTTCAGTACATCACACTTTTTACAACATTGAACATCCATTGAGGGATTCTTGCTCGTTCAACCTCCACATCCCTCTAGAATCCTGGATCCCAGGAAATTTTCTGTTCTACCTTCACATCTTCAATACACAGCAGCTCATCCCCAGGCTGGAAGTCCACATTCTTATCCAAGGACAGCCCACATTCCATCCCGTTCTTCACTGTCTGCACGTCATTCTTCAGGTGCTTCATGGATGTCAGTGAACCTACAAGAAAATGACACGGTATAAATGTCAAATCACCTGCTGTGTCAATTAGAAAATGGACTGTCAATTTTAGGTCAAACTGACATTTATGTTTTCATAGTTCTGCAAAGTCAGCCTGGTCATCTTACCTTCCCAGAGGATCTCAGTGTTACGGACGAGCCTAAACCTCTTCTTGCGGTCCAGTTCACCCTTTTTGACCCTACAACCCATGACTGGAACCTTCTTCTTACCCATGGTCACCTCAAAAGCAGCCAGCACTGTAGCCTCTCCTGTCAAAACACACCACCACATGCTCTTGACAAAGCTGGAAACAACTTAAAATCTGAAGGTCTCACTGCTCAATTCACAAATTAACACAATTAGAAGAAACCGCATGGTGGTGAATAGGGCACAGATAAGATTCAGCACCAATGACACTCTGCTTCACGGTTGGAGGTAGCCTGTTGCTCAGCTCATCCTTGAGGTCGTCAATGAGCTTGTAGATGATCTTATGGAGCTTGATCTGAATTCCCTGCTTGGAGGCTTTCTGCTGAATAGACTTGTTGGCCTTCACATTGAAGCCATAAATAACACCTGACCAGAGAGAAGAATGGGCTTTAGACCTGTGGTATTGTGGTGCTTTAGAGCTCTCAGTCCAACCTCAGTACTCAGAGGGACTGCTAAGTGAATTAGAGGCAGAGAGAGCTTACCTGAGAAGGTCTCGGCCAAGGTGAGGTCATTTTCAGAGACGTCTCCCACCCCGAAGTGCACCACATCCAGCTGACACTGCTCTGCGGCGTCATAGCTCTGCAGGATGTTCATGATGGCCTCCACAGAACCATCCACATCACCTACAGACATACGTGAAGGCTTGTACAGATTTTTGCAAGAACATTTACACACATTAAATGCAGAGAATTTATTTTTAATTTAATGCTAGTCTAAAAACAGTTGTGCAGGGATGGAGACAGACAGACTATTGAAAAAAGAAGGTGCGTGTTTCACAGAGTGTTCTGGATGCTGTCCCGCCATGACGTACCCCCCCAAACCCCCAACACTGTCTGCACCTTTGACAATGATGGGCAGGGAGAGGTCCGCGCCTCCGGCCTTCTCGCTGGGCCGCGAGCTCATCAGGTGCTTGTTGGCCTTGTACATGGCGATCTTCCTCTGCCTCCAGGACAAGTGGGCCGTGGCTTGGCGCTCCTTCTGGTAGGCCTCGTCGTGCTGCTGCTGCTTGCTCTCGATCACCTGTTTGTCCTCCTGCAGCTTCTCCTGGTTCTCCTGGAAGCTGCGCCACTCCACCGCCTCGCGTGCCCTTTGCTGGCCAAACGGGGCCCAGTGTCAAAGCACAGCCGTGTCTAACCACAAGCCTGATCTTATATTATCAACTGCAGCAATTCCTGCGTCTTTCAACCATGTAAAAAGCACCCATTTTCAGAAAAGCAAACTGATGATTATGAATATTGTGCAGCATCTAAAACCTTTTTGCTTCACTTTCCTAAGTTTCAGAGAAAAACGGAAGAGCTTCTGATTTTGTGTGAAACTTAACTGAAGCCAGGCGGCCGACGGTGGCCCTTTACCTCAGAGTCCACCTCTAGGATCTCCTCCCCCGCTGTGGGCAGCTCCTTCCAGCCCACGATCTCCACGGCGACGCTGGGCCCGGCCTCGCTTACCACCCGGCCATTCTCATCGTACAAGAAGCGCACTTTGGCCCAAGTGGCCCCTGCCACCAGAACGCAGCCCTTCCTCAGGGTGCCACGCTGCACGATTGCCGTGGTAACAGGGCTGTCAGAGGTCGGGGGGGGGGGGGGGGTCATCCATCTATGGTGCCAGAGTAATCTACTCTACATCTACTAATATGTGACTCAGAAAACTGAAAAAATGCTAAAGATATAATCAGCAAACCTGTATAATGTCTATGCTATTTACAGAACAATACCACAATCCCAAAATAGACTCACACTATATACACACATGACAAATCAGAATATTTATATTAAACAACTTCAGATGCCAGGCCTGCAGGGACGTCAGAAATGAGGGGGGGGGGGTGTGCAATTATGAATCCGCGCGTTACTGAGCCTGATTCTTTGCACATGAAGAGCGCGAGGACGAAACATACGAAGATTGTAGTCCAGTATCAGACAAATATTTAATCACATGGATCAGTCATTTTAGTTATGTTTAGTTGTGAAACAGCACCCCAAACATTGTCAATCTTATTTTAAGTGATGAAATTTTCATTATTCAAGAAATCATCGCATCCTTTCACGATGTGACTACTGCGTGCCCACTGCGATATCACGATAATACGGCACTGCAGGCCTGAACCTCCTGACGGGCTGACACAGGCTCTATGTGGCTCTGTGTTAGCATGCCGACAGGTACTGTGCTAAGAGTCTAACATGTCCAGTGCTGTATGGATTAGTTTATGTAGCTCTGTGTTAGCATGCTAACAGGTACTATGCTAAGAGCTAACATGCCCGACACCGTATTGGTGAGTCTATGTGGCTCTGTGTTAGCATGCTAACAGGCACCATGCTAAGAGCTAACATGTTGTATGGGTGAGTATGTGTGGCTCTGTCTTAACGTGCTAACAGGCAGCAGCCTGCAGGCCCACCCCTTGCCCTTGTCGGTTCGGCTCTCGATGATGGTGCCCTCCACAAGGCTTGTGGGATCAGCCTTCAGCTCCAGCACCTCTGCCAGGGTGACGGTGGCCTCTGCCAGTTCCAGTAGGTTCTCCCCCTGCAGCAGGCGAAGGGTCACTTGAGAACAGGCCGGTCCTGAAGCCTCTAGATTTTTTGTTTTCTTTCACTCCAACCAACCTGACATTTAAGACCTAATGAAATACTGTAGGAGATTTAGCTCATTCTCAAATCAAAACCAAAACATTTTTCAGTTAAATCAATTAAACATTAAATATTTAGTAATCCAATTCTACATCTTTAAAACAAAGCAGAAAATACACAATGATAGCCGATATATGCCTGACTTAAACCCATATACAAATCAGCACAACCAAGTCACAAGAGCAGAGGCAGATTATTGCGTAGTCTAAAGCCCAGGGACCTGGCTGATATGAGGACCCCGTCCTGCGTAGTTAAACTGGCAATCCCTGAGGGTCCATGTCTGTGTCAATCTAGGGCCCCCAGGTTAAGAAAACCCGCCCCCTGCCCAACAGGATGGAGAATCGGTGACCGGTACCCCCCCAACACGGGCCGGCATAGAGTATGGGCATATCAGTGACTTATACAGCAGCCGGAATCGGAAGGGCACCAACACCGGGGGGCGCCAGAGCGCTGACCTTGAGGGCGGACACGTGGATGGCCTGCACGTCCCCCCCAAGCTCCTCGCACACCACGCCGTGGGTCAGCAGCTCGCGTTTCACGCGCTCGGGGTCGGCATCCTTCTTGTCACACTTGTTCACAGCCACTATGATGGGCACTGGGGACAGAACAGCGCCGGGAAGGTCAGAGTGGCGGCGCACGGCCTAAGCCCCGCCCACCGCAAGCCAGGGTCGCCGGGTACCTCCCGCCTTCTTAGCGTGCTGGATGGACTCCACAGTCTGCCGCATGACACCGTCATCCGCTGCCACCACCAGGATGACGATGTCGGTGACGAGGGCCCCGCGAGCCCGCATGGCGGAGAAGGCCGCGTGTCCGGGCGTGTCCAAAAACGTGATCTTCTCCCCAGAGGGAAGCTGGACTGCAAATCACGACCGAGACAACGTCTGGCTTTAATAGCACTAATTCATTATAACACATCACAGATTATACTAGAAACTAAACCACTTTGCGTTCATTTGTAATTTATCCCCATCGTGGTTACAAAAGCAGTGCCTGACTCAGGACAAGCTCTTTAAGCACCAGACACCCCGAATTTAGCAGCAGCGTTGCCACTCACAGGACCTTAAGAATAGCGCTCAGTAGCGCCCCCTACCCAGGAACGCCCCGATGTGCTGGGTGATCCCTCCAGCCTCCATGGCCGCCAGCTGACTCTTCCTCAGACTGTCCAGCAGAGTCGTTTTCCCATGATCCACGTGGCCCATGATGGTGACGACGGGGGGGCGGGACACCAATACTGCGGGGTCGGGGAGGGGTCTGGCACATATGAAGATGTGGAGACTTAAATATGACCCTGCTCTTATACAAGTGCAGTTTCTGATAGCTGAATATATTCATTACAATCTTAGGCATGATGTCATATCTGCAGTGAAAGCTGAGAGTGTCCTTAGACTCTCCCCGTGAAGAGATATGATGACAATGTCCAAAAACAGCCCTACTGTCTTTCCACGTCCTTGTTTTCCCGGTCTCTGTCCACCGTCAGCGTCGCCCATTTGAACTTCATGCCGGACATTTTGACCACCTCCTTTATCCACTTCTCCTCCAGTACAGAGTCGGGTTCCAGCGAGTCCACGTCGATGGAGGTGTGCAGAAGAGCTTCATATACATGATCTGAAACGGCAAACTGGTGAGGCAACGCTAAATCCATCACGCCTGCTGATCAAAAGCAGGATGTCCAGGTCCCCAGACCCCCAGCCATCCAAACCTATGTCCCTCTTCATGGCCCCCGCCAGCTCGACCAGCGTCATGCTCTTCTTGATCTCCACCTCCTGCTGCTCCTGCTTCGGTTTTGGTTTTGAGACCTTTCCATGTCCTTTGGCCTGATGATGAGGAAAATATCTTTAAACTCATCTCCCACTGCCACCCAAAGAATAAATAAATAAATCATGGAGGATGTGACTTAAAAAGGTCTAACTCTGAACCAGTGCTTACTGGCCAACCACCAGAAGGTGGATATTTTTGATACTAAATGATTTCTAAGGAAGAAGGGGGGGGGGGTGCAGAATTTCAACAACAATTACATCCATCTTAAATTGTAGTGGTGGCAGGAGATGAAAGGGGAGATTCTTACAGGCTTGGTGGCCAGGAGGCGAGCGTGGGGGTGGGGGTAGGCGTATGCAGGCGCAGCAAGGCTGGGGCTGAGCAAGGAGCACAGAGGGGGTCTGAGGGAGGTCAGGCTGCAGGAGGAGGCCCTCCAGATCATCCTCTGTACCTCCGTGAAGGGCAGGGCACGTAGCCGGCAGAGGGCGCGGCTGGGGCAGAGCAGAAGCTCCAACCGGAGGAGAACCTTCATGCTCATCATAGCTCACTGCCAACAGCAACAAAAAGCTTAACATTTACTGCTTAACATCTACTGACTTCACAGCACATGGACTCACAGCGATGTTCTGCATGAACCAGTATACAGTACCTGCTGCTTTTCTAGGTGTCAGTGAAGAGTTAGGTTCGGTTAAATAACTGTACTACTTTGAAAAGCTTGCATAGGAGGTGCCCTGGACTGCGTGGGGAATGCCAGACTTTATGCATTTAACTCATAGATCACATTTCCATCGACACTGCATGAACAACTAAAGGCTTCCGGTGCATAACGACACTATATGCAGGCCTTAGTAAAGTATGTGCTACGATATGGGTTCTGAAATAAAAATCACGTTCCTGGAGACCAAACAGCTGTGATAGCACCTCTTGATGCTTGTGACACAGAACCGCTCATAATGAGGCAAATATATCTTTTGTAACGAAACACTGTACTTATTAAATCTCTTTATGTACACTGTTTTAAAACGAATGCGTTTTATGCAGAGAGCTGGTTTTCAAGTTGAAAAGCACTTATAAACAATTAAACACCTGGAAATGTCCTAACTATTATTCCCGAAAAAATTCGCTCACCTGCTGTTTTATTGACACTGACTCTCGACGCACCACCAAATCATTAAAGCAGAATATTACACCGGCAGGAGAGAAAGTGCACGGCGTTATATTCAGATAACACTTTAACGCCACCATGCGTGGCGCCATGACACATTTACCCAAAATGCAGTTCGGCCGGATTCACAATGCATCTCTCTGCTTCCTTTGGAGTCTTTTAAGGTCGCTGATAAATAAATCTTGCATTGCTTGTTAAATTTAATTAGAATAACAAAATAATAGTAAAGATAGTGAATTAAGTGATTCCAACATATATTATACCTATAATATTTTTTATATGTAATGAAATGGAAACTGATATTTGAAAACTTGTATATTCTAGTCCATAACGGCATGAAGACAAATACAATAAACAAAACTCAGCAACACTATAATTATAAAGCAATTTTATCTCTGCTGCAATTTTACCTCATTCATTATATAGGTTATCTGAGCGAAGAACTGGTTTAGGTTTGCGTCGCTGTGTCACGCTTGCGCACTAGGGCCAAAAATGCGGATGCAGTTTTTGTGATTTTCGATGCAGGCGGCAAGTACCGACGTAAAGAAAAGTAGTCTAAGGGGTTTATTACATCGCATAAGTTGCATTTAAAAGTGAAAGTTTAACTTTTCATAGAAGTTTAAGATGGGATCACCAGGACTTCGATCAGAGTTGGAGGAGTACCTAAAGCAGCTTAACATTGAAACTGTCTGCGTTGACCACCCGGAGGTAATGACGCTGCTTAGAAATAAAATTGATTTCTATCTGATTAGTTAAGAAACATATTGATACCATGGACTGCTTTTGTACAAAGATTTTGAAAGCTTCGGCTGTCGTGGCACGCGACTCTAATGTGCCCATACAGGACGCCAGAGGGCGCAGAAATCAAAACGGTCGGTTCCTACCGAATCCTAGCATTGCGTCTGTGATACCCACGTTGGACCACCAGAGGGAGCCATCTGCAATCGGAAATTACTTTTGAATTACTTATTTTACGAGCTACACTGTTTTATACATTATCATAAACGCATCTCACATCAACTCTGCTGTTCGGTGCAAAAACTACAGTGAAATATACCAGTGTTTTGCATTGTAACTTTGCAGTTTGAATTATATAGAGGAGAAATATCTAAACTGTATGATTTGAACTTGTTGTTCAGGTATGATCATCATATTAATGTATATTTACCACATTAGGTGTTTACCGTGGAGGAAATGATGCCGCACGTGCAGCACCTTAAGGGAGCTGTCACGAAAAACCTTTTCCTCAAGGATAAGAAGAAGAAGGGCCTTTGGCTTGTGTCCGCCCGACACGACCGTCAGGTAAACCTGAACGACTTGGCCAAGAAGCTGGGTGTTGGCAGCGGAAACCTCCGCTTTGCCGAGGAATCGGTCATGCTGGAGAAGCTGAAGGTGGCCCAAGGCTGTGCCACGGCTTTGGCACTCTTCTGCGACCAGGAAAAAAGCATCAAATGTGTGCTGGACAGCGACCTGGTGACTGGGGGTCACGAAAGGGTGTATTTTCACCCCATGACCAATGCAGCCACTATGGGGCTGACACCAGATGATTTACTGAGATTCTTAAGGGAAACAGGACATGAACCGATTCTGCAGAGCTTTGATTAGAGGACGCAGCTCTGGCTCAGGTTATGTGGTACATTGCTGGCTGATAAGTGGCCACCCACAATTAAGTTGTTTTTGTTATAGAATGTAATTCAGGCAATTATTTTTACTCCAAGTACTGATTTTAGTTATGTTAATTTTCTGGCATTAAAAGGAATTTATGCCCAGCAGAATACATTGGTAGGGGGGGATATTGATGTTTTATGAGCGTATGACCACTGAATTGTGTAGCATCCACCTCCTGCAGTGAACTGGATTCGTTGGTCTTCTCCTCAAATGCTCCCATCACCTGCAGCTCACTGGTTCCTGGGATGGATGCCATTCTACTCCAATTCCATACTTCAGACTTCATGTGGAGGAAATCAGGTTCATTCTCGAGGAGTCATATGTTCCCATGTGAGGTTTTAATGCATCTTAATCATTCATGAAGTGCTACCAGTGATTTGTCATTTTCGTACGTACAATGTGAAGGTATGTTACTGGTATATGTAGGAAAATGTCAACTAAAACCTGTTGCATACAGGACAGACAGCTGTACCACCATATATCATATTTGGTCTTAGACAAGACCCCAAGGTTACAAGCTAATGATACAATGTTACAGCCTTTGACACAAGATTGGCCAATACAGGCGAAACCATGTATTTTACTGTGTTAAACAGATGAATTAGTTTAGTTTAACGTGTCACATAAGCATCTGCTTAAGACTCCTGCACAGCCTAATATCAGCCGCTCAATGTCATTCAACAGTTTTGTATGCCAAGTACCATTTGTACTATGATAAGAGCCTAGACCACCACTAACCCCATGAACAAGGTCACACTCAAGCTCTGAGCTTCATTTAGAAACACAGCATCCTGCATCATTCAGCTGTTTAGCTACGTAGCCATGAGACTGCTTGAGAACAGAAAAACACCAAACAGTTGCATTGGTTGATCACATCAGAATGCCTTTATGTAAAAGTAACAGTGGAAAATAGGAACGAACTATTCAAAGTCACAGTCATTCCCAACTAGAGCAACGATCAGAATGGACAGAGACACCGGCTGGGTCCTTTGTGCTGCTGGTGGCCTGCACAGCCCATCCCAGGGGGCGCTCTGAACTCACAGCAACAAATGGAAACTCACAGCGCGAATGTAGAACTGAAAAAGGTGCAGTGCTGCTCCTGGTGTTTTGGTCTGTGGGAGACAGAACATTTTTGACAAGGTCTGCATTCCTGGGAGGGGGGGGGCACCTGGTAACAGAATGCTCCATGCGGTACATACTCGAACCAGTTTCATTTTTTCCCTCCTCTGGCGTCCACATGCTTTTCTTTGTGCAGAATCTTGAGCGGAGAAGCTCAGCCATCCCACGTCAGAAGGATGTGCATGCTTGTTGTTTACAGCCTGCAGACGGCAGATGGCAGAGGCTGGGGCGAGTCCAGGAAGAGGCAGCACGAATCCTCTGGCTCCGTGGAAAGACACGTTTCCGTTTCCCAGGTGATGGCATCAGCACAGACCTCTGGTCCCCGGCACATGTGCGTCGGCGGTCTGTCAGTCCTGCGGCAGTGCTTTTGCCAGATTCAATACTTACAAAAAATTGCCACGATAAAATTTCTAAGACGGAGTCCTTTTTTCTCCTTGATTCAAGGAATGATAGGAAAGTCTAGTTGAAAGATTCTTAAGAAGTTTATATAAAACAGGGTTTACACTCTCAGAGGGGACCTTTTTTTTTTTTTTTTTTTAAACAGGCTTGAAACAGAGCTTGATGGGAAAGATTCCCTCTTGGTGAGGCAGTAAGGGTAGAGTGAAGAGAAAAGAGGGACAGGAGAAAGTGAGTTAGCAGAGGAGAGATGATCATGTGAAAACACCAGCACCCAGGACCGGCGGGAGGAGCCTGTTGGGCAGGAGCGTCATGCAGGGATGCTTTTCAGGTTCTGTTCACATAACCCACCCAACACAGACTCAAAGTGTCATCAACACAGACTTGTTTCCAGTACACTTTAGTAAATCAAAATTAAGAAAAAACAAAAATACAGAACATAACAGAATAACAAAACTGGGGTAAACAAAAGAGCCACTGACAGATGTGCTTGGAAGCACCTCCACTGCTGTGTGTGTGTGTGTGGGGGGGGGGGGTACATGCAAAACGCAAAGTGTCCCAGCTGGTTCCCCACAGAGGCTCCAGGTCACCATCCTTGTGCACCGCAGAGGAATCCGGCATGGAGGGAGGGCCGGTTTACACCGCGAGTGGCGAGGTGCTGTGGGGGGGTTAAGGCCCCGGTCACTGTCCCCAAGCAGCCACCGCTCTGCTTATGGCAGGACACTCACCCCTGGGGCCCAGTAGGGCGGCGGCCAGTGGCAGGGGGGTCTATGTCTGGGAGCTGTGTCTCTCCCCGCTCCTGCTTTTTGACTTTCTGCGCTCAGCAAAACCTTCCACATCTGCAGAATAAAGGCATTTTCAATTATTCATGAACACGGCTGGTTACATGTACGATCAGCTGTTGTGGCAGCTATGAGAAAAACGAAAACACAGACCCCTCCAAAAGCCCCATCCATTATACCACCATCGTGCATCTTTTATGATAATCCGACAGACACACTAAATTAGTGTTTACCCAGCAGGCTGGCTGTCACCACGAAACCAGTTACCTTCCAGTAGCAGTCAACGCTGACTGTGCACTAGCTTAACTCCGTTAATGTGGTTAGTGTTGCTCACAGTGGTGGCAGCTAATTTAGCATGAAGCAATGACTGTAAAACTAAAAGATATATTTAAATGTTTTTGCGTAACGTGTGTTTTTTTCTGTCTACAGCTCTGATGGCTTGTGGAAAGTGTGTAATTGTTTTTCTTGAATGAAACCAATAGATGTGTTTCCCCACAGCAAAAGCAGCATGTTCACATGTTCATTTTGATTGCGTGAATCAAAATGGCAGCCAGGCGCACAGGGAGGGGACCCTAAACAGCTTACTGATGCAGAGCGGCCGACATGCAGCAGGAGGAGTTCAGGACGGAAGCCCCGAAATCTCAGGATACACAACAAAAAAGCAAGAGGTACATTCACAGCAAAAGGTGAACACAGCCCACAAAACATTATACATCTGCGACTGGAGAATGAAGGGCACAAGCAAATAAAGGAAAATAATAGTAAAAAAAAAAAAAAAGTGAATCCTTAAGATGCATATACTTTTTTTTTTTTTTTTTAAACTGGGCTAGAAGAAACAAACCAGACCGAATACACAGCCATTTATACCATCAGTAAAATGCAGCACGAGGGCCTCATATTACATGTGTAATCAGCTCAGTTCTATTTAAGACCCGGACACTGGGGCTCAAAACATATGCAGCTTATTCTATAAAGCTCTGTGATGTCATGCAAAAGCCTCGGTTATCCAGTGGCTCACGTGAGCTGTCAGTCCTACAGACCCTCGGCTGGTCTCACTTGAAATGCAACCATTCTTGAAATCCATGATTCTGCTATGGGCTCTCTTCCCAAAAAGGGCAGTCAAGTTGAGTTTTTCCTAAACATTACCAATGTCAGTCCACATAGTAGCAAAGCAGGTAAAAAGCAGTCATTTTGTGCGCCTGTTCATAAACCTGCATAAACAGCATTGGGGCTGTACTGCCCACATGCTGTCTGTTACACAGGGCATTTAAAAGGACCTAATGGTCATTATTAAACCATGACGTACTAATGTTCTATGTACAACTTCTCAGTTCATAAATACAAACTGAACCTGAAGATCGGAGCCCCTCTCCCATTAATCATTTCATTCCCTGCTCTTCCACACCAATCCATTAAGTCCGACTGCAGTAACAGCAATAACAAAGTTAGGGTCACATGACCAGAGAGCAAAGCCCCCACCCAGGCAAGAGGGTCAGAGATGCCCGCTTGAGTCCTGAAAGTCCAGACAGCGACTGGAGAAGACAGACCACGTGGACACGTCAACCACAAGACAAAAAGGTGATGCTTCAACAGAACCATGCAAACAGGTTTACTGTGCTTTATTTAAAATAAAAGAAAAATAAAATAAGGTCAAAGAAGCAGGGAGCACAGGAGTGGAACAGCAGATGGGTGCCCCAGCTGGAGGCCTTTGCTCATGCATGGATGAACGTGGTCAAAATGAACAGTTTGTTCTGTGTTCTTCTCCCTTGGAGAACCGTAGTTTGGAAGACGGGTGTTTGGCTGCCAGTGGCAGGAGTGTGAATGCGTGGCAGTGCTGATCCAGTGATTGGAGAAGATTCTGAATCTGCACCAGGGTCTAGGTCGCAGGCAGGGTCTACGTTTAGACGCAGCCATATTCGTACCACAGGGACTGGCTGTCGTCAGAGGTCAAGGAGGGAGATGGCACCTCAGCAGCCTCCGCATCGGCACCTGTGTCATCACCGTTAGTCTTACGGTCAGGGGTGCATGAAACCGGGCCCGTTACCGGCTGGGGCTCGTGTCCGGCTCTAGCGGGCCGGGAGGTGTGTTTGATGGGCGGGCCGCTGATGTTACTGACCAGGGAGGTGTTGAGGGACAGGAATGTTTGGCTCTTACCAGGACTGCTGAAGGACGGCTCGCTGAAAATGGTGTCCATAAAGACGGAATCTACAGTGAATGTGGAGCCAAGGAACGAATCCAAGCTAGAGAGTTCTGGACCTTTGCCCTGGGCAGTGCTGCCTGTCAGGGGTAGACTGGTGGATTTGGGCAGGGTGGGCGTGGGGGCTGGGGGGTACTCACTGGATGCGGCCTGCCCCCGGTGGCTGGCCTTGGTTGGGGCTGGGTCCACAGATACAGGAGGCCGTGTGTCTTTGGACATAAAGTCATGGATGCTTGTGCGGCGTGTCGAGCCTTCGGCAGTGGAAATGACGCTGCTGGCGCGAGGCAGCGTGGACGAGGAAGCGTCCAAGCGCTCCGACACAGAGACGGCCTTGCCCTGGGCGTTCAGCGCAGGCCGCATGGGGTTCGAGCCTTTGACGCGCGTGCTCTCTGCTTTACGCAGGCTGGGACGCCCCGCTTTGGATGCCCGACTCTCAGAGGTGGAATCGGTGGCTGGCGCCCTCCCGCTGGCCGACCGCAGGATGCCGCGCGTGCCCCGCTCCCGCCGCACTACTTCATTGGAGTCCGCCGAAAGTCGAGAGGACTCTGTGGCCAGGGTCTCCTGGCTGCCATTCTGAGGGGAGACCATCGCACACTGACACTTAGTACAAAGGAAAATGCAATAATCTTACCCTCTTTCGAGAATTCCAGATCCAGTGAAGGCTGGACACACCTACTGAAAATCATTTGTTTTTCAACGAGATAATGACCCTCAGCACAGCTTGAGTTTATGCAGTAAGTACTGTGACCTGGTTCCCATAATCACCTGGACCTAAACCCTACAGAGCTGGTTTGGGGTAAGTTGGATCGACCCCTTCAGGACTGCTGGAGAAGCTTAATACATCAGGAAGCTGGGTGAATAAATGCTATGCTGTCATCAAAGCAAAAGGAGGCCATTTTGAGGAATCTAAAATGAGAAAATTGAGATGAACATGTCTCTTGGCCATGGCAATATTAGATGTGTACTACTGCACTGCCTCAATGATGAACAACAGCTAAGAGACAAATGCATTAAAAGCAGGTGTGTCCAGACTTTGGACTGGTATATTTAAAAGCGAAATTTAAATTTCTTACTTGTCAATTAACACAAAAAACAATGACATTAAGTGTAATAAAAGTATAAAGCAACCCATTGGTGATGTGCTGTAACTGCAGGCCACGCGAAGCCCCCCTAGAGGTGCTGATTGGTACTACAGTCATTTGTAGGTCACCTCTGGCAAATTAACGCTCTCCTCCAGGAACTGCTGCAGGGACATCACCTCGCTCCCCGGTGAGGCAGTCCTCCTCCTGGCCTGTGCGCTGGGGGGCTCCAGGCTCCTGCGCAGGAGCAGGGGGCTCTGGCGAGATCCACGCTGGGAGAGAGGCTGCTGCACGGGGCTGCTCCCACTGGACCAGGCCTCGTTGTCCAGACTGAGGCTGAATTCCCCACTGCTCTCGCTCTGCGGCCGGCTGTGGCTGCCGTTCACTGTGCCTGCATGCCGGGGAGGAAAGCAGAGGACACGCCTGTAGTGTGGCCCGGGGGAATCGCGGGACTACGGCGGGGTCACGGAGGACGAACCAGCCATGCAGGCTGAAACAGGCATAGGGAATGCAGCAGAATGTCCCAGCATGCAGCAGTGTCAGAGCAGTGCTGTGACGGGGCAGGCATACTGCAGCAAGGCCCTCCTGTAACTAGTTGTAGGTGGGTTAATCGCTCAGCACATGCAGTAAGATTGTCGCTAGGCACAAACAAACCATCCCTACACTGAAAGTAACCACACACACACACACACACACACAGGATAGTGGCTCCCTGACCCAGCCTCCTGCTCACAGCCCCTCATCTCCTGCTGCCCTTGGCCTACTAACGGGACCCATTAATATCACACAGACACTCCCCCGACACGGATGGTGTCCTTTATTCCCCGGATCTTGAGGAAAGCTGCAAATGGAGGGTGCCTCTTCGGAAGACAAGAGGCACTAATAACAAAGACCGTGCAAAAGAGCCGCCCCCACCCCCAACAAATAAAATTCTGTTCTTAGTTGGCACTCCCCCGCGCCAACGCCTGGGGTGCATGGCTGGCCGGGGACAGACACTTGGGCCGCTCGTCCCCGCCTACGTCGGCGGCTCGCAAGGGCGGGCAGGCAGCACCAGCTCACAGCAGGGCTGCAGGAAACCATCTGCTTTTAAGCACAGCAGCCGGGCCGCCTCGGTGTCCCTGCGCTGACCAGACTGGAGTGTGCGTGCGTGGGGGGGGGGTGGGGGTGCAGACACAGACTAAATGTAAACAACATGCTTCCCCTCGAGGGGAGGCCATTTCATTTTCTTTGAACGGATTACATGTTAAGTCCTGAACGTGTTAAGATGCTGTTGGACATTTAAAGGACATTAATGAGCCACTGAGTCTCCAGCAGGCATATAAGAGCAGCCCACAGGTCAAGTAGGAAGATCCCCAAAGCTAGTGCTGACTGTCTAATGGGAATGAAACCAGTACACTGCCAGTATCACACTCGCCTCATTCCATCCGACTGGCTGGCCAGCGGATTCGATGCTTTGTACAAATAAGCAGGACAAAAGGCCACAAACGAAGAGGAGAGCGAGAGGAGCCCAGCGGCCGTACCTTTGACCTCCAGCGAGGAGGAGTGGGAGTTATTATTGCTATAGCTACTGGTGGTCCTGCTACTATGGAGGCTGGTGGGTCTGGAGGCTGGATGGGCACACATCATGAGAGCAAATGGGGGGGGGCAGCAGATGGCCCGAGCTGGGGGTGGGGGTGTCACCATGCATCTCCAACATGCTTGCCCACAAACCAAGAATCCGGGGGTCTTACGGGAAGCCGGGAAGCCCAGGCCCTTCCAGGGACTGCGGGGGGGCAGAGGGAAAACTGGGGCGTCGGGTGAGGAGGGTGGTTAGTGACAGTGACGGGGAGGGGCACACATGGGGTGAGGTGGGGTACAGATGCACATGAGCGGGTGACTTACAGCAGATGTGACAGGGGATTCTGCACACTGCAGATGGAGAGAGTGCCTCAGCACTGCTCACGTCCTGCAGCCCTGGCGGGTCAGACAGGGCCGCTTGTGAGAAACCCCGCCTCTCTAGCACGGGGCCAGGTGGCGGGCAGCCATACTTATACACAGGCTACAACCCTCTGAACGAGGGAATCCCTAACTAACAGCACAGCACTGTTCGCTGATCCATTTAGCCCGTTGGGTTCCAGGACATGAGAAATGGTTAAGGGGGCAGATGTTTGTAGAGAGATGCAGGTTAACAAGAAGCTGAAATGCCTTTTAATGAAGGGATGCCACAGGGGTGACGGGATTCTCTGGAAGGCCTTGGACCACGAGTCTCTTACCTTGACTCCTCAAGCCGTTGGCGTCCTCCGGGGAAGCTGGAGCCACGTCCTCACAGGAAGCGTTGTCTGGGAAAGACAGGCGTGGCACTAGATTACAGATTAGGGTGTGAATGCCGTGTGTGTCCATGAGCAGGCTATCACATCAGCCGGTCTATAAGCAAAGGCGGCGGGGGCTTGCAGGAACAGGAGCCAGGCACAGCCAAAGGAACGTACCGGAAAGCCAAAGTGCACTCACGTCTACATAATTTCCAGCCACACATTTCATGAAGCGCTTCACTTTCAGGCTTATCTGTACCACTCTCATCAGCAAGGTCTGATGCACAGCTCTCTAAGTACCTACAGAAGGACATCTTCTGTAACAGCTTAATGTCCTTTAAAGAGACAGACTGTCTGGATAATCCACGAATGAAAGCTGCATCTACTCTAAATGACCAGGAAAAGTATATAGATGAGCTCAGCTGGTGAAACGGTGCGGGCGGCTCTCCTGGCGCCTTGGGAAGCAGCTCGTCGTCACGGCAGGGTGAGCAGGCAGAAAGCAAGCGCTTTTAATGCTGACTCACACACACTCATCCTCAAACCAGTAAAAGCCTGTTTTTGGATGGCATCAGACTTACAGCCTTTCTGAGAATGGTTTACTTAACAGAGCTGGGGGGTGGAGGGCTGGGGGGGGATGGATCGCCTGGCTCTACCTTTGGCTTTGAGCCTTTGCTTGGACCTGTGGCCGGCAGGCAGGTTGAGCGTGGCGTAGTTGATGGCCGTGGTGGAGTAGGCCATGGATCCCAGCTCCTTCCGGCGCTGCCTGCTGGCTGCCTCCTCAGGCCCGTCCAGATTCTCAGAGCTACCGGCCCACGGGCCCCCCGCCAGGGCCATGGATTGCAACAGGTCGTTCATGGCTGGGATGGAAATGCAGAGAAATCAGCATGGATCGGTGACTTCCACTATGCCTGCCGCTCTTTTGGGGGGGCAGCCCCCAAAAACTGGGCCCGACTGGGCCGAGTCTCTGGGGAACGGGCCGCTGAAACGGCCCCTCCCTCCTACCCACAGACAGTGGGGGCCTCTAAGGTGTCGGGAGGGTCCATGTTATCATGACATGCATTGAACTGAAATGGGTCTGAGACTAGGACGGTAAACAGGAGCCAGAGTGTGAGGGACAGAGATGGGAGAGATGGAGAGAGAGAGGCTAACAGTTTAAAAGCTCCGCCAGAGCCGAAACATGACAGCGCCCCCTGCTGCGTCAGTATAGCAAAGCCATGCCTGCAGGGTGTCCAGGGTAAGCGTGGCTACAAATATAAAATGGGTGAAGGTGCTGCTTAGTTCAGGCAGCCACAGGGCTTGGGTGGAGGTGGGGGTCATGGGCAGTGCAGGCTACACATCCAGGAACATCTCCACACCCAGGTGTAGAAGGGAACAGCATTCTTCACTATAACTAAGGCTTCAGCCAAGCGCTCAGCCAGGGCTGAAATCGCACTCCGAAGAGCATGATCAGTCCCATCACGGCCCAATCTAATGGTGCCACGGCTGGACGGTGCCCCTTTACGGCAAAAGCTCCCAGCAACCCATCACACGCTGGTTACCATCCCAAGCTGAAACCGGCAGCAAACAGGCACATTCTACTCGGGGGGGGAGAGGAGGGGTAGAGGAGGGGGGCGGGGGTTTGGCTGACAGGTCTCCGTTTCATCCATAAGCCAGCGAGAGAGAGAGAGTGAGAGAGAGCGAGCGACGCCAGACATTCGCATAGTGCACAATCCACCAAGCCAGACCGGTGCCGTTAACAATGAGGGACGAGGGGTCAGGAGAGATGTTGGTGGGGGGGGGGGGGGGAAAAAAAACCACAACACAAGGAAAAAACGCTAAATAAAATGTAATAATCAGGAGAATAGGAGGCAGGTGCAGCTAGACTATTGGAGGTCTTACACATGGACCGGCGATAGACGGCCTTCACTTTGTCTTTCTCCTTCGGTCTGTTCCGCATAAAGGGCAACCGTTTCAGTGCAGTCACTTAGAGTCATAGCAGGTGGTGAGAGGACAGACAGACCAGGGGAGATGGAGATAAAGAGGGGGGGGGAGAGAACAGATGGACGTTAACAATGCAGAGAACCCAGGGGGGGGGGAATTCACCAGCAGGTCAACCCCGGAGTGGGCGGGCGTGCACACGCATGCACACGTGACACGCACACACGCTCAAGAAGCAAGCGTATGTCAACATGCCTGTAAATACACACACCTGTACTTAGTACACCCGTACACGCCGTAAAATGCCTGCGTGAACACGCTGGGGCCTTGACCCCCATCCCCCAACCCCCCTCCGACACACACAGGTGGTATGGCCGTGTGGAGGGGGTGCGTGCTTCAGGTGGAACAGCAGACAGCACACACGGCACAGGACGCACTGCACGTACACTGTGACGCTATTAAACGGTGCAATTGGGTGAAATAGCCCCAGGCTGTGGAAAAGGTGGGATCCAGCTCCCCGAAACAGCTGTCTTGTCTGGAGCTCAATATCAACTAGTCTAGTAATATTATGATTAAATGCAACCTGCTGGGAATGGCTTGCTGACACGATCCTGACAGCCACCATTACACTCACTGCCATGCACGCAGTGGCCTGTCGCTAGCTGGGAGCAGTTACTCACAGTTTAATTATAAGTATAAATATTCAAAGGTTTAATTACATAGCTGCTGCTAAAAATGCTTTATACAGGTAGGGGACTGATGAAAATAAATCAGAGAAAAAATAAACTGAAGCGCAGTCTGAGGTACAGGGGTCATGTGAAAGGTGTTCTGCGGGGAACCTGCTGGACGTTCTGCTGGCTGGGGCAGGCATTGCACCTTTTAATACAGACAGAACACAGAGGGAGGATGAGGCGCGGCTCGATGGCATGGCGACTGGCCGGGGCCCGGGGGGCCCGGGGCCCCCCCACGCCTGCGGACCCCTTTAGCATACCATTTGAGGGACACTGCAAATGGATGATCTGCCCTCTCTTCCCTTCCAGATGGAGTGAGGAGAAACAAGCACAGACAGTGTTAGGTCTACGAGAGCAAGACACCTCATACAGCAGACGAGTCACCAGCGGCGCACTCACTCAGACTGCCGGGTCGGCGTCTGTCTGCCACCTGCCACTGCGGGGCCTCGTTTGCCCGTGTTTTAGAGAGAATACGGGTGGGGGGCGGGCGATGCGCAAGACAGTCCTCCCACCCACTTTCCCAGCAGGAGCCTGGCATACTCACTGGTGCTCCTCTTGTGTGACAGGGTGTCGTCCAGGGAGCCCATGGAGGAGCTGTCCTGGCTGTCCGGGCCCAACGGGCCTAGGAAGCCCTCGCCGGAATCCGAGCGCGTGGGAGTCAGCGTCAGCGAGCGGATGCGCTCTCGGCTCTTGGGCTTGATGAGCTTTTTCATCTTTAGGGTGATCCAGTTGCCACGCCTGGGTGCATGGAGAGGAACAGGCTGAGTGACGCATCCCCCGCCCCGGCCACACATATGACACGGTGGTAACAGCGGAGGTTTGCTCGCACATCCTCAGCATGCCCGGCACAGAAAACACCCGCTACAGAGGGCCCAGGAAAATGACCCAACACGAACAGGAACTGGTCAGCAGCTCATAGAACTCGCGAGCCCATCTGTTCTGTTCTAATCTACATAAGTAAAATAAACATCCAGATCTCAGCATAACTGACATACACAAATACACAAGAGATCAGGCCATCAGCAAAGCAGAGGACACACACTGAGGTTTCTGTGGGATAGACGAGATGATGCCTCACTATATCAAAGGCTAATCCACTGGGCATCAACACGGGCTGCAGATGGACGTACCTCCTTGGTGGTGAGGGATCATAGAACTTGTACTGGTCCATGATCTTCTCTTCCAACTTTTCCTTCTGCCTCCTCAGCTCATTCAGTTTGTCTCTGGAAGGACAAGGGACTGATGTTAGCAACGCGAAGGACAAGGGTGACAGCACCGGGACCAGAGTTGGAATTCTTACATGTACTGCCTCTGCTCCACATGGAAAAGGTCCTTGCTCTCCATGGTCTGCTCCAGCAAGGTCCGGTTCTGCAGCATCAGCGTCTGGATCTGGTCCAGCAAGTGCCGGTTCTCCTCCTCCAGGTTTCCCTTAAGCTGGCTGAGCAGCTATATAGGTACAGCACACATTCAATACCTTGCCTTAATGTGGTCATCAAAACTCCAGAAGGCACGGCTCTTATATACGAGTAGGACAGGAGAGCCCAGGCAGGTGTGAAGCCCTCGGCACAGCCCAAGTACCTCACACTGGTTGGTGAGCTTGGTGGAAGTGATGTCCAGCTGCTGGTACTGCTCCTTCAGCTTGGAGAACTCGGCCTCGAGTCTGGTCTGCTCCAGTTTGGCGCTGTTCAGCTGGCTCTTCAGGGTTCTGTGATCCACCTGCAGGCCCTCATTCTCCTTCAGCAGCTGCAGGTATGTCTGGTTTAACCTGGTAATGGGGGCACAGAGATGCCATTCTGACAATGACCCTAGTATTTTCATATCCTCTAAATACAACCCCACATTAAAAGCCCAACCCCCCCCCCCCCCCCCCCCCCCACCAACATCTCT